GATCCAGCACTTGGCAGCTGAGATTATGCTTTCTTGATGGAAAGCCTGTGAGAAAATCCTTAGGTGTAGGCTCATCCTAACCAAGACCCTTCTAAATGAGGAGGGCTCTTGGCTTATTTAGTTGCCTTAGAAATTGAAACTTCTAGAGTTGTCCACTGATTTCTGTGTTGCACGCACAAACACAATATGCAGCCAAGCTAAATGACAAGGATAATGAAGCACCTTCTGTTTGAAGAGCTTGGAGGGCCTGCCATTCCCTAAATGCTACATGGAGCTGCTTACAGATCCTTTGGAAGAACGCCTATCGGAAGCTTAACTTCCTAGTATCTAGGGAATGTAAGAGCTTGTCTCATTTCCTCTGTTCTTGATCTAATGCCTCCATTCCGTCTTAATATTTTCTCTTTCTCCTCCCCTTAGTCCTCTTTCAACTAATACTCCTTCCCACAATTACCAGGCCATGTTGGCACATTTACCAGTTTTCTTTCTCTCCCCTAGCCACATGGATAAATGTACTTGGAGACAGTTTCATCAGGCAACTGATTTACATAGAAGCAGTTTGTTCATATGAGGCCGGAAGTGAAAGCTCAAACCTGCAGCAGTATAGGGACTACCTGCAAGGTCTATACTGTAGTTTCACTTATAGTCTTTGTGAGATCATCAACGGGAGTTTATGAACAAGAGAATGGGAATTTTGAATGGGAGTTTGAGGGGAGACAAAGAGGACTGTGTCACCACTTACATAAGCTGAAGAGAAATGAAGAGTGAAGAAGGTGCTTCAGTGACCTTTATATACAATTGGGTAAGTGTAGCCTGGAGAAGACCGAGAGTTGATATAATAGCTATCATAAATGAAGATAAGATTGTCACAAGGGAAATAAAGCAATTCCTTCTACTCTAGGTGGATTCAAATTACAAGAAGTGAGGTTTCAACTAACTGTTAGGAAAAACTTCCTGACAGTAAAAGCTGCAATGGACAACTGTTAGGAAAAACTTCCTGACAGTAAAAGCTGATCAGCAATGGACAAGCTACGTCTGAAGGTGTTGGACTCTTTCATTAAACAGTTGTCAGATAGGTACAAGGGATGCTTTAGCTGTGAATTTCAGGCAATTGGATTTTATTTATTTACTTATTTATTTATTTATTTATTTATTTATCATTAGGACATAGAACCTGTTGTTAATTTATTTGAATCCCACCACTGCAAAGCTCCCAAATCCTTGCTCTTGAGTGGACCCGTGCTCCTTACTCCTGAGGAGACTGGTCTCATCCACCTAGTGACTCAGTGATCCTTGGAGATACCTCCCTCTGTATGGTTCTGTGAAAGAAGGGGTCTCCATTCGCAATCAGTTACAACTATTTCAACCAAATCTCCCAAATCCCTGCTCTTGAGTGGACCCCTGCTCCTTACTCCTGAGGAGACTGTTGTCCTCCACCTAGTGATTGAAGTGGTGCTACAGGCTAATGTCAGATCTTTAATTAATTGAAATTCATTAGTCCATTTTAACAATAACTTCAAGATGCACACTCTCAACTTTCTCCTGCCAAATTCGAGATGCCCGGGTTTTGTAACCTTGGAGATATGGTGGAGACAGACAGGCATATCTTTGCACAATATCAAAAAACAAGCAAACAAACTTTATTGACAATTAAAAGTATTAGAAATCTGAGCTTTCTTGTGCACCTTTCTTCAGAGTGCACAACACAGTGTTTGTGGGGGAGAGAAAGGGAAAAGTCCCCAAATGATCCTGACCAGACTTTGCAATGCCAGAACTTTTATTAATTGTGTTTGAAGTTTGGGCACTCTGTGATAGTAAGAAGTCTGTCATAAATGTATTATAAGTTTAAACTTTCCATGTATACTATGGGGAAAGCAGATTGAGCTGCTAGGTTTCAACTTAACTGTGTTCAATCTGATGAAGTTGACTTGTCCACGAAAGCTCAGTTAGGCTTTAACGTGACACCACGTGCTTTTTAAAAAATTATTTCTAGTTTGCTTTTAAGTGTAATGTGTTCAGTTAGATTCTGAGTTATTTCTGTTTGCATCTGATTTCAGGCTTGCAGATATTGTAAAGAATATGTATTTGTCAATAATTTTTTAAAAAAATGAAAATCAATCTAATGCGGCCGCAGAAAACCAGGTACTTAAAGGAGCAAGGCAAGAGACAAAGGAACCCGCCTGTTCACTACCACCAAGGTGTCCGCCGCCCAACCAGCACCCCTATCGCCTTCCTTTTATCCTCCATTTTGTACTGCCCCGCCGCTTCGCTCATTCCCTCCAACCTCCCGAGGCTCCTTTTTTTTCCCCCTTCGCGTTTCTGAAACCGACGGACGTAATTTGTCCCTCGCGGCGGCCCGTCTCCGCAACAGCTGTTTGTACCATCATGGCGGCGGTGTTGCTGCTCCAGGAGCTCTCAATGACAACGTCTTTGGGGAGACACCTTTTGCGGGTGGGAGGAGATGGAGCGAGGGCAGCTGCCGCCGGCCGTGGAGCCAGGTACGGATGGGGAAGGGGCGGGTGGCCGGACGGGTGGCCGGTGCTAGCGACGAGGCGAGGACTTCATTCGCCAAGCCTCTCTGCCTGAAGGAGGAGGGGGCTGGTTAAAGTTGCTCTCGAGCAGTTGCGTGTGCACGAACGTGAGAATGGTAATAACTGGAGTTTCCTTCACTCGGTTCGGGGGGGGGCACATCTTGGCGTCTGCAGGGGGAAGGGGTTGTGTTCCTGCCGCCCTTCTCCCCTCTTTAAAGTTTCGATGCTTTGGTGGGGCTGCATTGGCAGAACACCACATATTGTCAGTCAGGTTGCAAGTTTGTGGATCGGAGTAGCCCTTCTGTCAAACAACAATAATCCTGTTTGTTGTGGTGGGTGGTAAGTTGGCTCTTTGGAAGCTGAAGTGCTGCCCTTAGGTGGCTGAAGCACTTCCGTGTGTGGTGCAAGGAAAGACCTTGTGCTGCCGGGCCTTGCGCAGGAAGCAGCAGTAGGGTTGTGACGTGTGTGCAAAACTCAAGGATAGGGGATGACATCGCATCCTGTGCCGTTACTTTTACCACGGCAGTGAGGAACAAGTGAAACTCATCTTTTAAATACCCTACTGTTCCATTCCTGTGAACTTGTAAATGTTTGCAAATTTAAGCTTTTCAAGTACTGTATTCTCTGTGGGCAACTGACTGAGTTCTAGGTGTCAACTTGCTATCTATGGTCAGAGTCTGTGTTAATGCTGTTTGTGTTTGTATTATACAGTCTCATTACTGATTTCAGGCTTGCAGATATTGTAAAGAAGATCCTTGTTTCTTTACTAATGTTCATTAACTGTTAAGGGCATGCTTCTCAGAACGTTCTCCACTTGTTTTCTTTGGATTCTGTAAATATATAAAAGTGTTAATGTTAATCTTTTTGGTGAATATGAAATATGGTAAAATTACCTTTATCGAAATAGGGTTTCTTTATATATTGAGGGAGCACTGAAATTAAGACATCCTGAAATCTTTGAAACTGAGAAGTGATGTGAAGACAGTTCTGAATGAATTATGTTTACTCTTTATAAGATGCACATTGGATTGTTGCATGGAAAACGTTGAGGTACTGCAACTGCATTTCAAAGGCAAGGATAAATGATACCTTTATTAGACCACTAAAAAGTCATAAACACAAGCCAGCTTTTGAGCCTGTGCAGGTCCATCACAGTGGGCACCATGCAGCTATGGGCGGTGCAGAAAAGACATAAAATGTACCAAAATTATCACTAGATGCCTATCCCAGGTTCTTTGCTAGCCATGATTTTTGAAGCTTTTGTATTCTCACAAGCCAGCTTTTGAGCCTGTGCAGGTCTTCATCACAGTGGGCACCATGCAGCTATGGGTGTGCAGAAAAGACGTAAAATGTCCCAAAATTATCGCTAGATGCCTATGCCAGGTTCTTTGCTGGCCATGATTTTTGAAGCTTTTGTATTCTTTTTGCACCATCCTCAGTTCTGTGATGCCCAGCCTGATGAAGACCTATACAGGGTCAAAAGCTACCTTCTGTTTGTGATTCTTTCTTTTTTTTTCTTTTGTTGGTTTTGTACCTGTGTGCCTTCATATTGTGTACAAGGACCACACGCCCCTTTTTTCTTTTTGTTGCAGCTGCATTTGATGACAAATTGTGTCAAGAGTGAGGGCTTCAATTAGTTCGAAGAGAACAATGTCAGATACAGTTCAAAAGGGCAGTGTATCTGAGTGACTGTATTTTTGTTGTTGTTGTTGGTTTGATGCTACAGTAGGCTAATACACTGGTTCTTAACCTTGGGTTACTCAGGAGTTTTGGACTGCAACTCCCAGAAGCCTTCACCACCTGCTGTGCTGACTGGGGTTTCTGGGAATTGCAGTTCAAAAGCATCTGAGTAACAAAGGTTAAGAACCACTGGGCTAATAGATTACCTTTCTGGAACAGTATGCTTCATGGTCTACTGCATCAATAAAAGCTATTATTTTAAAAAAAATGAGACAACTATTCCATGTCTTCCTAAGTTATTTGAAATAAGGTCTTCCTGACATTGCATTCTTCTTTTAAAATCAATTTAGAGGGAGCCTGATGAATTTCTATGGACTCCTTTGACTCAAGCATCAATTATTTCTGCTTGATGTATTTTATAGTCCCAAGTGAGTAAGTAACATCCAGGAAGTATATTCCAAGATGACTTGTAATGTTGGCCAAGGACCTGGTCAGATGTTTCAACACATAGCAGGGTTTCCAATATTGCAGAAGATCCCTCCGAAATCCTATGATGCTTTCCTATCCACTTAAAAATATTGCTAGCCCAAGGAATTGCTTGTGGGGTTTTAAATGTTAACCTCCTGAAACAGAAATGATGAACCTGTAGCTGCCTAGATAGTGCTAGGCTGCAATTTTTGCTAACTGTGTTGGTGGCAACTAAAATCTAACCAATATCTATAGAGCTACAGGTTCCTATGTTGCACTAAGGAATGAGCCCACTTTCTTGCAGTCATTCCAGCAATGCAAAATTAGATACCAGTACAGTAGTTGGTCGTAAGGCCCTCTGGGGAAGAGACTAATACTTGATTTTGTAAGATAGGAATGAGAACAAGGCTAGTTTCTAGAGCCAAGCACACTTCCAACTGTTTTGCCAGATAATCATCCAAGCTCAGTTTTTCAGTGTTATGATCATCAGTTTCATGATGTGATCCATCTGCATCCTAAATTCCACAAAGTCATGATTCCCTATTGTGTTTCCTTTTGCTTTTGACAATGATATATTCTCCAGCATATAAACAGTCTTCATGGCAGACTGATTACTTAACCAGCCATTATGTTTTTGCAGGAATCTCAAGAATGTTATTCATTACAAAGCACATATTTGATTGTCAGTGTGAGAAACCTCAATTCTATTCATAAGGTCATTCTCTGTATCCAAGGAGAACTGGGCATTTTAAACAACATTTGAAGGCTTTTCTTCCGCTGATATAATTGTTGACAGTGAAGATACTTCACAAATTAATGGATATTTTCCATGCTGCAACAACACTTGGGTTTTGGAAAAGTTAAAAAACATTTGAATTCTATTATTTGAACCAATTTATCATATTCTGTGATTCATAGTGATGTTCTAAAAAAATAAAAAGATGATTTAAAAAAATTAGTCTAGAACTAACTTTAATTACTGTTACTTGTCTTACCTCCCACATTTGTTAATTTTAGCCATTACATTTTAACTTCATATACCTTCAAATAATATTCTAGTAGTCTTTAAAAGAAAAAGTTTGAGATACAGGAATTTCTGTATTTTTTTAAAAATCAATCTGTTCTCCATTCTTTTTTTCCTTGGTTCTGTGAAGTTTCTGTGAAATTTCAGTTGCAGTTTTTTCTTTGCATGGCAAACTCCATTACATCTCTTACATTAGTTCTAAACTAAACAGTGGTGTTTGCAGAGCTACTTCCATGTATTTCCCTTCTAAAGATAGGATTATTTCCATATTTCCCAATAAAAGCTTTTTTTCAGGATATGGACATGAATTGACAGTTCCACTCTGTTGAGTATTTTTTTTTTAAAAGAAGCAAGCCAATAAAAATTTATTTATTATGGTCAGGTGACCAGCCCACGAAACATATCCATGGCTAAAAGATACAAAATACAGTTCATAATATACAAACAATTCACAAAACATACCATGTGGCAAAAATGCAGTTCAAAAGTGTATAGCCAATCCATAAAACACACTACATGGTCAAAACACACAAAATGCAATTAAAAAGTGCGCAACAGGCAATCAACCATGCACTGATGGTAAAACACGGGGAGAATAAAGCACAGCACCTCTACAGCTATCCCCCAGGCCATTGTCCCTTCGGATGGGAACATAACACCTCTCCATGCTAGACAATAAACCACCCCCATGCCAAAACCAGTCAACCCGTGAGCTCAGGAGACTACAAGGGAGCGCTGTGTCATTGCTGCTGCACAAAATCTTGCTGCAGAGCATGTAATAAGGGAGTCTTGATAAAAAAGAAGTGGTTTGATGTAAAATTCATCTGTTCTCCCTGGATATCTGAGAATGATTGGGCTCAGGAGGTTGGTGCGTAGATCTCTATAGAAAAGTCAATACAGTAAAACATGACCTATAGTTTCCACTTGACCATCATTACACAGACAAAGGCAATCCGAGATAGGTGTATGTTGAAATCTTCCCTCCATGAGCTTAGAGGGTAAAACATTAAGTCTCACTAATGTGAAGGCTCTTCTGGTCTTTGTTGACATTGCGCTTGTCACATATGCAGATATTGTAAAGGCATTATTAGTAACAACACTGTATTTGCCTACCTGAGTCATATGCTCTTGAAGTTCTACATCCCAGATTCTTTGTTTGAGTGCTGCTTTAGTGCTGACATGCCCCTTTGCCTAAAGAACATTGGTGGAAAAAACCCGTTTGCCTTATTTCTTTTGTAAGTTGTAATTTCCATGCTGATTGAAAGGAGTCAAGAAGTGCCATCTGTACCAAGCCTTCTGAAGAGAAGAGAAGCTTTAGCCTGTAATTAAACAAGTGGACTTTGGCACTTGCTCTTATGGCGATTAGGCCAGCCTCCAGTCGAAGGGCTACATTAGGTGTACAGGGGGGTACAGTCAAAATAGATCTCAAAAATTTGGTTTGAACTACCTCAAGAGGACGTAGGTAGGTAGTATTGTTTTCTGTGTATTTCATGCATTGCAAAATAAATAATCTGTATTTAAGGGAGAACTTAAATACAGTTAACATTCTCAAGATGGCCTCATTTATTTCACTGTGGACATGCATTTTGCTCCAGGCAAGATATTCAGTGCTGTTTGACAATGACAGTTGTGCATAAGGGAGGACCAATGCAAATTATCCAAGTTTAATATTCATTAAGTTAGTGGTTTTGCTTCAAATCATTTTTCTAAAACCTTTTTTAAAGCAAATTAGCTCTGGTAGTAGGAAGACAGTGGTTTTCTGTTGTATGACTATCCTGTCAGAGTACAATGAATG